TACTTACAAATTGAAACCAAAGAGCGTTGGGAATTGGAGTATTTTCCTACATCATTTCAACAAAACCCTACCCTGCAAATGGATCATTCCGGATCATCTTTTTTTTCTCTCTCAGAAGCTTAAACCTACTTACAAATAGGAATCAAAACCCTATTCCTACAGCATTTCAACAAAACCCTACCCTACAAATGGATTGCTCTGGATTGCCCGTTTCATTTTTCTCTCTCAGAACAAACCTACTTACAAATAGAAATCAAAGAGATCGTTGGGAAATGGAGTGTTCCTACAGGCTACAGCTTTTAAACGAAACCCTACCCTACAAATGGATTCCGGCAGCGGAGGAAAAAATACAGAAGAACAAATGTTCTATAAAATAAAACAATTTAGAAGTGAAATGAAATGGGGCTTCCTCGACAGCCAATTGAACCGTTGAGCGGTTGCCACTTTTGGACAAGCTGTATGAGAGCAAATCCGATCTTGATTCTTTGCAAACCGATCGAATCCAATCGGATCGAAGGTAGATCGTTTATAGCGAACTTCAAATTGGATCCATGAGATTTACATGGGATTCGAATCGGATTGCAATCGGATATGATATGGTACTAACAAATTAAATTAAATATTATCAAAGTATTATATATTAAATTATTAATATTATTCATAGATAAAATATAAAATACTTTGCCTATGTTTTACAATAACAACATTTTTCGTGACATCTCAAAATATTAATAAAGATGAAAATGCTCCGTCTAGAACTCTTGCGGTCTTGCCAATCCTATATTGAATCCAAATCATAACAAAAACCTCCTCATGTTTTTTTTTTTTTTGTTTTTAAAGAATGTATGGTACTTCCGTTTTGTTATCTACCCCAATGGACAATGCTAAACACGATAGAATTTAGTTTTCGGTAAATTACTGAAACCTCCATTTGGATCATTGCCAAAATTAGGGGTGTGCAAAATAGAATCGAAGCCAATCGATTAATCGGTTGATCGGTTCAGTTAATCATTTTTTTTTATATTTATGCATAATATATATTATAATAAACATAATAAAAACTATAAATATATATATATATATATATTATTTTAAATTGATGGCCCCACCCACTGGTCTACGAAGTGGCAAAGAAAGGGTAGTTGTTGTAAATCGCTGGAAAAATCAACCTTTGGTGCCAAAAAATACCCATTCAATATAGTTTGGTCCAATAGTTGTTCACTGGAAAAGGTCCTTATAGATAGTTGTTTATCATCGAAAGCTCAACCAAGGACCCCGAGAAGTTTGTCGGGTCGTGCCCAGATATCTTATTAACATTGGCATCCAAGAAATATAGGCTTGTAAGTCGGGATAGTAGTCGATCCTCCGACCTACAGGTAGCCTAGCTTTACTTTCTTATCAGCGCCAGGAACGGTTATAGATGTTCATCTTATTGTAGATCCATGGACAAGAGTCTTGTGGCTTTGGATTCAAGAGGATCGCTACATAAGTGTTTGGATCGCTTAGTACTTGAAGGTTATCAATGGAGGAAAAGAAGTCGAACACCAACCCCTGACAGATATTTGGAGTGAAAAATTTTACCTTGTTTGACTTTGAAAATTTGAAGGAGAATAAGGACAGATTTAATCAATTAATTAAACTATAAGAATAGTTTAAAAAATTTGCTATGAAATGCATACTTATTAATTTATAATATATAAAAAATATAAGATATTTATAATATATATATATATATATATATATATATAATCTAAGGGCTGCCGCCCAATATTATTGCTACACAATTTTGAAATTTGCTCTCACCTGTTACACTGCCCAGCAATGGGCTTGTACAACAATTACAAAAAACCTAACCGGGCATGGCCACCTAGTCCAAGCCTAAGTCCAAAGCCATGCATGTGCACCAATCTGTCAAGTTGTGCACCAATCTGCCTACATGTGTTGCGCTCTACTGCATCCACATGTCCCAATGGTCAAGCAAATGTCTTGTTTCTCTGATGTGAACAACAATTGACGTGTCCATTTTTATTGGGGATCGTGATAATCTATTACCAAATGTCAATGTGGTCGCAACTGCTTATTAATCTCGACCCCGTCTTATCTTTGAGGAGTTTCCCAGAAAGCTAAGAACTCGATTACTCAAGTGTGTTTTTCAGTATTTCAATAAAAAAAAAAAACAGTCCAAAGTTAATATTTGTAGAGTTCAGATCAGTTCTTCACACCGTGCACCTTACAACAGGGGTGGAGTTAGAATTTTTTATTGATGGGACCAAAGCGTAATAAACATGGATAAGAGGGCTACAAAATAAGAAACATAGATAGGAGGGGCAAAATATATGTAAGATTTAAATGACTACTATAGAAATTTTCAAGGCATAGCTCCCCTCTGCCACCCCTGGCTCTGCCCTTGCCTCACACCAATCTTATAATTAGGGGTGTAAATGGATCGAATTCGAATCGGATCAGGCAATATCTGAATCCGAATCCGATTAGAAAATTCGATATCCGAATTCGAATATTTGATTCAAATTTGATTAATTAATTATTTTAGATAATTAATAAATATAAAAAATAAATATTTTATTGATATAAAGTATATAAATATATAAATTATTTATATAACTTAATTATTATATATTAAATAATCGGTCGAATTTGGATATTTATCGAATCGAATCAGGACATATCCGAATCCGAATTCAAATCCGATTAACTATTCGGTAAGAATAGGATGTTCGAATTCGATTCGATTATACTGAATATCGAATTCAAAATCGGATTTTCGAATACCGTTGACACCTACTCACAACATGTCTTGGCTTCACATCAAGAACATCTCCTATACTTACATTTATTATTCATGGGAGATGTCCTCAATACAGGATGGGATGTGGCGGTGAATCAGGTGTGAGGTGCGCTTTTGTGAGGAACAGATCCATTCCCAATTCATATTTGTAAGTTCTAATAATGTGTTTTCAGCAGTTGGAATTCTTTCTTTTTTCTTCTGAATCGAACCGAAATATCGTTGGCATTAGCATACCAGGAGCTCGTATCTTTTCTTGTACAGTTATACTCCATTCACTTTTCATTGGATTAACAGAACCTTTATTTATTGGGGGTGAGTGGGAGTCCGCGTTCTATGCACCGGTGGGTTCACTTGGACATGTGAACCCACCAATCACAATCGACCATGTCGGCCACAAACGTTAATGGGCCTTTGACCATTAACATGGGATAGCTGGTTCAACCGGCCACAAAAAGACAAAAAGCAAATGAAAAACACCCAGTCCGAGTTCCTCCCTTATTCTCCCTCCCATTTTGCAATGTTTCACTGCTTTTCCTCCACCGAACCTTACCCACACACCGGTGACCATACCACAGCAGACGGTGGCCCAAACCAGCAGCCATCGGTGGCGAGAGCTCCAGCGATACATTTTATAGCCTCCTCCTCCTCTTCTTCTTCTTCTTCCAAAGAGTTTGCTATTTTCTCTTTTCAATAGATCGAAGCCTTACACCGGCAGGATTCTTCAAGCGAACAAAGGTGGGTCAATACCGGCAGACTTTCTTTTGGCTGTTTGGACAACATGATCTGGTCTGAGTCTCGTCGTTGATCTGTTCAAAACAAAAAACAAGAAGAAGAAGGGGGTTCAGTGGAGGAGAAAAGAGAAAATGATTGGAAGGGTTTGAACTGAGAGGGGTTTCAATTTAGTTTTTATCATTTTGTATCCGGTTCAACCACACACTCAATTAATGTCCGCCTATCCATTAACATTAGCCCATTTTTGCAAAGACAACGTGGTCTTCTCTCATTGGCAGGTTCACAGAACACGAGCTCGATGAATGGGGCCTTAGTCATAATTGCTTTCTTGTTTTGCGTTTGGCCAATCAAAACCTTACCCGAATTTATATCCGAACTTGGATTTCTTGTTTTTCCTCTCCATTAAATTTGTTATCTTTATATTTATATTAAAATGATGGGAAGAGGGAGGCTAAGGGCACTCTCACCATATAGTTCATATTAACCCCTTACATTCTTTCCTATTCAAGCTCTCATTCATTTTTATTTACTTGGATAAATGTGTTTATCCGGGCAAATGTTTCCCAAATTACGGACTTCGATTATCCAGCAAGTAGCATGGGAGCTAGTATAACAAAAATTGAGCACAGGTAAGATGGTCAGTGGTCAACTTACTGGTTGACCAACTTACCCCCAATAAATATCGAAAGCGAACAAGGCCTAAATCTTTTATTTCTTATTAAACCCCTATTGACCCTTGTGACGATGATCACCCAACAGGCGCATAACTGCAAGCTCAATCAATAGACCTCATGTGCACCCTGTTCTATATCTGGCTATCTGCCACTAAGTTCCCCCAACAAGGAGGGCATCTCTACATACTTTGTTTGTCCCATGTGATAAATGCCTAGTCTCTTCATTAAAAAAGTGCAGGCCACGTTCAATCATGTCTGGGTTGTGCATCCCAAAACACAAAGGAAAGCAGCAAACCTCAGGTACTCTTCACAGCTAAAAAATGTTAATTCATGTACCACATAATGCATGATTAAATTCTGCCACAATGATTTTTCCACCAAAACTATTTGGTATTTGACAAAACAAAAATACCAGTACATATATTGCACAGACATTAATTTACGGCAATAACTTTAGCGCTTCTTACAGATATCGCTTCTTTCCTATCGAAATTCAGCCATTTCAAATACTCGAGCAGTCCCATCAAGTGACACTGAAACAAGGAATTCCCCAGTAGCAGAGACGACCAGGGACTGAATGGCTTCAGAGTGACCGCTGAAAGTTCTAGCACAATTCCCAGAGAGGCTATCCCATATACGTACTTTCCCATCTACAGAGCCAGTGGCTATGTACCGAGATGCACCCAGCCATGACAAACATGTCACACCTTCCTGCCACCAATAAGAGCTTCAACATGTCAGCAACATGGTTAGAATGCACAACTACAAATTAACTGATCAAATTAGTAGCTACTCAAAAGAAGCCATGAAATTAAACAAGGGATATTGGAGAAAAGTAAGCTTTTCATGCGTATATTTCTATGATGAACAAAATAATTATGGCCCAGAAGGAAAAAGCGAAAACTAAAACAAAAAGGGGACCATCCTTGTGGTACGGAGGGCGTAAGTCATACCTTCCATACAAAAAGAAAGCACCTTTCTAAAGATTGATTTCCCCTGGCATTCTTGAAAACAAAAACCAAGGGGTGTTTACCAATAATGAATGATGTATGGTTTAATTTTAAAATAAAAACAACAGCCACATCCAACAAAAATGATATGATTTTGCTGATGTCTTGAAAAACACCCCTCAAAATGAGCATCTATGACCAACTAACAAGAAGACCATGAAAACAGTCCTGTCTGGTCTTCGATGAACAATTGTCAGCCACAATTATTTTTTATCAATAATTCAAACATATTATTAATTAAAGTATGAGTTAGCTACAATCTTCTCCTAGGATTCAAATGCGACGTCAGCTACACAACAGGGGTAGCCCATCCCCCAACCAAGGTGCAGGCGGGATTTGATTCCAAGTCTCCCCTATGACCAGCATGAGACCTTTCTATATCCTTTTAATAGCTTTTTTACCTTGTATTCATTTCTTCATTGATATTTCCTTAGTTTTCTAATATTTTTTAAGTTGATCAAATTCTATATTTAAATTACCAAATCAAAATTGAATTTGATAACCTATATTCAAATCTACTTAAATATTGGATTAAATCTGAAGACAGGATTCAGGTGATCAAATCAAATTTGTATCATTCTAATGCAACTTGTTAAACACCCTACTCTTGCCTATTTGCAAAATTAGTTTTTAAGTGGTGAAATCTTCAAAATATAACCGAGGAACCAAACAAAATTAGACCTCATGGTCACACGTGCAACGTGGTGATGAATGCTGCAGATCCCAGATGATGAGCTTCTGATCCATGCCCCCTGTTGCAGCCCAAGGGAAGCTGTGACATAAAATTGACATATTAAAGAAGAGATTAAACAAATATAGGTTACAAAATTCAACAAGGATTTGATGATTGCTGCAACTTATTGAAAAATGAAAAGGGTTGTTGTAAGAATATGAGCAAATAATACCTAAAAAAAAGAATTTGTGCAAATTCAGAACCCTTTTTTTAAAATGAGGTAAAAAATTATTGATGAAAAAGAGATAATGATACAACAAGCCACTTGTCTGAGCTCCAAGCAGGTTGAAAAAACATTCTATCGTGGATACAAGTAAAAATATTTACTATTAGACAATCAGATATCTTGTAATTCTAACTATTACCATTAAGTAATAGGTTCTAATAAATTTTCTGAAATGCAGACTGCATATGGAAAAGAGCATTGTCACATGTAAAGGTTCATCAAGAAACCATGCAAATTGTAATGTGTGTTATGTTAACAATAACATTATGTCAAACAACCAAAGTGGGATTTGTCTGTATGTTCGAGGGAAAACCATATTAATAAATGGCCACTAAAAATATGTGGAGTCTCAGAATCCAACACATGTCTGACACAAATGCATTGTCCATTAAGGAAAAATTCATGCAACAACAGATTTAACCAACAAGCTTTCAAAGTAATTATTACTCAAGATGCTGAGCATACCTCAAAGAAAGTCCAACACACTCGATTGAATCTGAATGACCAACCAGTGAACTAATCACCTGCACATTGCAATGATAAGGCTCATCAACCACCATCCTTAGTTCACCATTAATTTCCAAACATCCATTCAGGATATAATATTGCAAGAAAACTCCTAACTTCCTTGGAATAGGTAAATATTGGAAATCTATAACACTGAATACCTGAAAATTCTTAGCATACCACATACTAATGCCAACATGATAGAGGCCAATATGACACTACATAGAGTTTCTGGAGTACACTTAGTCGACACTTCTAAAATATATAGATAGCTATGATACATGAATAACTGCACAAGGGTGCTGTATTGTGCCAGATACTTCAATTTGTAGTGTAAATTCCATATCCAATACCATATATCTAGTCATACCCTTGCTGTATCTGAGCACTCTAGAAATGATATACAGGAGGGATTTTCAGTGTGTTTTATTAAAAAAGATGATGTGCAGATAATCTAAAACAATAGCAGTCCAGACCCATATACAAGGACTTTACATGGCTAACGTAGAAAAATATGTGTCTACTGTCTAGGCCTTTACACGTGGAAGGATGAATAAAAATGATTGGTGCCCAAATATATTGAACATGGTTGGAGTTGAACCTTGAAAATCACCAAGAGTAAATGTTCACCAAACCAATTCTATGTATGAGTTGATTTACTTTTCATGGGCACCAAATGGCAGAGAAAGATCCAATTGACACCACCCATACTATAAAATCACTTCATTAGCCATGATAGTATAAGCTGGTGGAGACCTTTTAGGTGTTAGGACTAACCCGTTCCCATTGAATAATGTAATAAAGTAAGGATGCAAGTTTAGAGTTGAATAATTTATCATAGCATCAGGCTCAGGCCCATTCAAAATTTGACAAATGCTCAACCCACGAGCCACACCTGCCCAAGTTGCATCCCTACAGTAGTGTCCAAACTTTGTAGTAGCAAGGATAGAGGAATTATATGAATGACAGTGACTCCCCTATACGAAAGGGTGTATATGGTATACCAATATTCCAGTATCCACTCTCCAGAGTAAGATGCACTATAGTTAAGATCTTGTCCAGCAAAGCAGTCTTAGCTTTCTACATAGGTTTCATCTATTACCAAGTCTATCCGTGAATCATTTGCAGATCCTTTTATCCCAAATCATGGTGGTTTGAAACTTTCCATGTTTTACTCTTCCAAAGCTTTTAATAACATTGTGAACTCCCACGTATCAGGGCAGTCACTTTGTGTGAAAAATGCCAAAGGTTAGAACTGTACCCAGTGACCCTCCCAAGACCCTAGATAGTTAGGACCGACATTGGGTAATGGCCTTTCTTATGGGGATGAGTTACCCAACCCACTATACCCCTACTAGGACAGATTTGTCAGTGCTATTATCAGGTTCAGTTGATGCTTGGTTCCCAAAACCCTGGTCCACATTGTGTTTGGGTTGGAATGTTCTACAAACCAGGTCATTTCACCACTATCTAAGTGAAAAGGTACCCCTGTTTTTGCCTCTCTGTTACAACTAAGCATTCCGCCTCCAATGATCATGCTTAGCTTTCCCTTTTATCAATTTCCTCTGTCTTGCCCCACCCTAGCTCTGTGATGGGGTAAACCAAGCTTGGTTGCAAGAACATTTTCACAGGTTGGGATCAATATGACTCTGCCCCATACCAAACCTGACCCATTGACAAATCCCTAACGTGCAATGATCCCCGAATAATCACACAACTCTCACCATCATAGTTCATATGACTCCATTATCCCTTGGTTAGATATAGTATGCAGCTTCATACTCATTTAACAAAATAAATCAATTAATGGTGACATGATGGAAGCCTAAATTCGATGCATTTTCCCCAAAGCACCAATTCCAATTGCCTCAAATAAGATGATTAAGAAAACAGGAAGAAGAAACTAAGGTCAGCAATTTCAAGAACCACAATGACCTACACGGTTTACTCACTCTCCTAATCACAGGAAAAATATCAAGACCTTAAAATTGATCTAACAACTCTGACTTAACAAAAATAAAAATAACAACTTTTCCAGCTAAGCTAAGACAAAACCGATTTGTGTCACGTGGAAACCCTGACTAATCCAGAATAGCCATCAAATAGAAGATATCTGGATTACCATGTCTTCGCTCCCCAAAATCCATGTCAACTCCATACCCCACCATTTATAGGAGTTTTTCCCAACAAACAATAGCTACACAAACTTCTTTTTTCAAGTTAAAAGATGCATAGAAAGAAAGCTTTATACAGATATGGCAAAGGTATCACTGTTTCTAATCAAAAAAAATGGCAAAGGTATCTCTGGATGAAACTTTTTTTTATCAATAACAAAGATTTCACTAATCAAACAGAATAATTAATTACAAAGGAGGGGAGATAAACTTTCTTAACTCCCCCAGCAAAGGCAAGAGCCCTCAAAGTGAAAAAACTAAAATTACAACTGAGCCCAGAATAAAGATTACCTAGCCACCCCTTGCTTTGCTAACCCATCTGCAAACAAGTTAGCATATCTTTTTCTTTTTTTTATCAGTAATGGCAGAATTTATTAAGAATAAGAAACTTTAATTACAAGAGAGGGGGAGGTAAACTTTAAACTTTCTTAACTCCCCCATTTTAGCAAAACAAAAAATACAAGATTAGAAATGAGCCCAAAAGAAAGATCCCCTCTTCACCCCTTGCTTGGCTAACCCATCAGCAAGTGAGTTAGCAGTTCTCTTTACCCAACTGTATTTCACCTCAATGTCCCTAGTCAGCCACTTAATTTTTTTTTTCTTTTCATTGCTGTAGTTCCAGATAGGCAGATACCAGAGTTATCTTCCTTTAGCCATCTCACCACCACCTCTGAGTCACCTTCAAAAACCACTTTTCTTAGGTTCAGGTCCCTTGCTCTTTGGGCACCTTCCAGAGCCGCAAGGATCTCAGCCCTAAGAGAATCTCCTTCTCCAATAGGGCCTGAGAACATGGCTATAATAAGCCCCTCATCATTCCTAAACACTCTCCCTACACCAGAGAGCCCTAGGTTCCTTAAACTACTTCCATCAAAATTCAGCTTCATGAATCCAGGTGGGGGAGAGGTCCAAGAGGGAGAAGAAACCGTATTAACCTGGGCAGAATTAGCTATCTCTAACCAATTCCTCATCAAGTCATCCAAGGAAAAAACTGTGAATATGTTAGGTCTAGCATGAAAGCAGGCCCAAACGACGTGACCCAGGCCCAACAGGCCCAAGTCCCAACCCAGAGCACTCCATGGATCACACACATAACACCGCCCATGAGGTTCATGTACACGTGCCGTCCACGTCATGAGAATTGATCAGAGTTTGTTAGAGATAGTGAGGAACGATCAGAGTTTGTTAGAGGTCGTTATCCTCTCATCATGCATTATAAATACCTGTACGAGGCTGTGTAAAGAATATAGAAGAAAACCCATTAATATCTCCTCTGTCTCTCTCACCCTTCCTTCTTTCCCCTTCTCCGTTCTCCCCCTACCCCTTTCATCCATTTCAGGAGGGTGAGCTCCCTCGAACCAGCTCCATCAGTATTGAGTCCCGAAGGTGGTAGATCCATCAGAATAGGTTCAGAGATTTCAGCCAGTGAGCCACCCTTAAATGTATCAACTCCATTACATTCTCCATGGTTCTTTCCTTTTCTGAGAAGGTACGTGAGTTTCTTTCTTCCCAGATAGACCAGCAGACTGCAGCCCTTGTACATCTCCACATAAATCTCCCTCTTTTTAAAAGGCCAACTAAAGTAAGAAGGAGAAAAAAGGCTTTGCACATTCAAGGGAGGGATCCAGTTGCACCCAAAAAGGGCACCCAGCTTGTACTTTATTTCCATGTCCTTAGCCAACCACCTGAACTTTTTCCACTCATTGGTGTAGTTCCATAACCCATCCTTGTCTTCTCTCAACCACCCTATTATCATATCACCTATGAGTCCCCATCAATTACAAGCCACCAAATATTCATTTCCTTGGCCCTTCAAACACCTACCAAAGCCGCAAATATCTCAGACCTGAGAGAGTCACCTTCTACAATTGGGCCTGAGAACATGGCTGAAACAATTCTATTCTCATCCCTAAACACACCCACAATGCCTGAATGCCCAGGGTTCCCTCTACTGCTGCCATCGAAGTTCAACTTTACAAAACCAATGGGGGGAGGGGTCCGAGAGACAGACAAAGACTTGAATTCACCTAGGCAGAACTAGCAATCTCTTTCCACTTCCTCAGCAAATCGTCCACTGTAAAGTCTGTTAATAACTACAAGGACTTCAACCAATGTACTACCCTGAAGTGAATCAAGTCAATCAGACTTTCAAGGTTTCTCTATTTCTCAAAGAAAATCCTTGAATTCCTTTCTTCCCACAATATCTAGCATGCAGTAGCTCTTGGGCACCTCCACATGGTACTACCCCTCTTAAGATGCCACCTGAAAAAAGAAGAAAATAGACTTCGCACATTCAAAGGGGGATTCCACCTACACCCAAAAAGAGAAAAAGCCCATTCCCAAATAGTTTTGGCAAGCTGGCAAAAAACCAACAGGTGATAACCAGTTTCCCCATCATCTTTACATAGAATATGCCTATGTGGAGATAAACACACCTTGGATAATTGGCTTCGCACATTCACTAGTGTTGATTCTTTTTAGGAAAGTTTCCCAACAAAAACTCCCAACCCTAGGAGGAATTGACTTACACCAAATCTCTTTAACAGGGAAGGGTAAACCTGCAGTGCTGGAAGGCTGAGTTAAGACTTTGAAGAAAGAGGCACAAGAGGAATAGCCCGAGGGGGTGGCGGTCCAAATTCTGGTGTCTTCCTTTGTGGGGTCCAGAAAAACATTTTCAAGAATAGCTGGGATAGACAGGGTGTTGTCCAGATCTATATCTCTAACAGCCATTCACATACCCAAATTCCAACCAAACCTAGTGTTTGAAGATGACGGGACAAAAAAGGAAGAAATAGGCTTGTTTTTAAAGATAGCATAGAGGGATGGAAATTGATCCTTCAAAGGAAAATTCCCCACCCAAGTTTGTTCCCAAAATTTTATGAGGTTGCTTGAGTTTAAATCATACCTGATTAGAGGGGAGAAAACTGGTAACAAGTCATGGATTGTTTTCCAAGGTGAGGCACATGTAGTCCTTGCCAAGATTCCAGGATCCCATCCGTTGTCCTCCAACCCATGAATGCTAGCCACTATTCTTTTTTTTTATCAGTATGCTAGCCATTATTCTAGCCCACAACTTCTCCTTCTCAAAAGGGAACCTCCATAACCATTTCCCCAATAAAGCCACATGCCTCTTCCTAATGTTCCCGATCCCCAACCCTCCTGACTTCTTATTCCTAATCACCATCTCCCACCCCACTCTATGGTCCCTCTTCTCCTCACCTGACTCCCACAAAAAGTCTCTCATCAACTTTTCCAATTTGTTAGACACCACTGCTAGAATCTTACCTATGGATGAAACTTTTCATGAATAGAGGACAAGGAATGGAACATGGGAACTCCTTTTGAGCCATAAAATGAGTTCATTATTGAAGTGTCCTTGGCCATTTAGACTTTTCCACAAAATGGCCCAACCAGCAAACCCGCAGTAACAACAGCAACAATGATGATGATGGTGATTGGTTGCCACTTTTGTGATACCAGTCAATTGGTTAGTGGTTACCAGTCTTTTAGGTATTGTGTTTGTCAAGTATCGGAGTTAGACTCATATTCAAATCAAAATACATGACACAAAAGACTACAATCAACTGTAGAAAATAAAATGCCCTTTTTGAAGTTTTAGGCTTCTCATATAGTGTGTTGGGTTTCAATGAAGAATAAGCTAGATTTCCGAACTTGTATGCTGCCAACCAAGAGCAACTAAGCCCCAGCATCTCTTGCTCACTGGAACATATGTTCTCAAAGATCCAGGCATTTCTTTCAACCTAGGCACACCAAAAGACAGCTATAGCGACTAGGCCCTAGACAACTTTCCCACTTTTACTTAAACCACCAAGCTGCCAACTCAGAAGAGAACAACCAATCCACCAAAAGTTCCGAGTACTCTGTTTCACACTGGCTGTGAAAGGGACAATGCAAAAATAAATGGTTTGTTGTCTCCACCTCAGCAGAACCAAAAGAACACTCCATGCAATCCAAATTCAGGCCCCTGCTCTGAATTTTGTCACAAGCCAAGCACTTTCCAAAAGCTGCTTTTCATACAAAGGAACTTAATTTTTGAAGGACTTACAGATTGCCAAATTCTGCTATAAGGAAACTAACTCCAAGCACATTTTTCCAGCTTCTCGTAGAACAAATTCAAGAGAAAAGAGCATTACTTTCTCATTCCTGCCTTCTACAATCAGGTTGTCCCACCTGAGGTATAAGGGATTTTCTGCAACAGCTCCACCATTAAATCCACATCCCAGTGATTTAAGTTTCTTCTTATAAAGGATTCTGGTGACACAGCCATTTGAAATCACATAGCAGTCCTTAAGCAATTGAGGCTTCTGTATTCTGTGCAGCCATGAACAATGATGGAAACGTATCCACCAAAGGTTGCTGTCTACACCCTCTATCCATCCATAACCTTTTTTGATGAATGATCCATCCATAACCTTTTGTGAATTCAAAACTTACTTTTTCATTTCCTTTCCAAAATAGCAGTGCCACATGATTGAATGTTGCTACCAGGCTCTCAATCCATCTCCCTTGAACCGTATTTAGACTCAATAACTCTTCACAAGCTTTCCAGTTGCTCACTAAGCCTCCAATTCCACTTTCAGAGAAGAGAGAGAGAGAGAGAAAGAGAGATGATGGTGGTGGTGGTAGTGGTGCCCCTCTAAACATGGGAAGACATAAATACACTGTATTGAGAGAGAAACTACTATTTTTAGATAGGCACTTATGAAGAATCCTTTTCCTGCAACAGGTACAAACAGGGAACATTTGGTAGTGTGTTTCTAATCTAAGTATTAAATATGATGAGCATTTTCATGTGTATTAGTCAATGAAATAATGACAATCTACTTGCTCTATCAGAACAACAGCAATAGAAGGAGAACATGAGCACCATAGATAGTATACTTTAACTCAAAATTATAGACATCAATAGAGCCATAGGCCCATAGCTAACAAAAAGAATAGTTAAAAAATAAAAAAAAGAAACTAGATTTTAATGGGGGTGAACTCAAACCTTCCCACTTGATATGTTAACAATATGAACAGAGCTATCCTTTGAACTTGTAATAGCAAGCATGGAATCAGCGCTTATTTCCAAGCATGTCAGTCCTTCAGTATGATATGGATGACCTAGAGTGCAAAGGAAGAAAAAAAGATCCTAAAAACTCAGCAGGAATCTCAAATAATATGATAATGATTCAATATATATTATCTCCAAAATCAGAATATGAACCCAAATTATGGAAGCATGTAGCCAGGAGTTATCCTCTTAATAGAGGCTTCCCTCCACAAATCTGACACATCAACTAGTACCAGATGGTAGCAGATGTTCCCACTGCCTGTGCAATACATTTTGTAATCAATTAGTATCCAGATGGTAGCAACCATTATTGCATGTTTGTACATAATGGGTTCACAAATGCTGCAAACAACCCAGCCAGATCATTGAATCAATTTGGCACATTAAATTTTTCCTTTTCATTCTTTCTTTCCATTTTTGCTAAATAGACCAATTTTCAGTCCTCAAATCTTCTATTGATACAAATACATCATGCATATGTAATAAACTTGGAGAATTCTAATAAGCTGCTTGGACTGAGGCAGTAAAAGCTTTTGACTCCTTTAATCAAGAAGCAGAATACCCCATGAAGTGTGTTTTTATAATTCCCTCAGCAACATTTTGGTAATTGAAAATATGCAAAAGGGTATTTTATTAATTGCAAAGTGGGCATTCTGTGTTTGTATTGGCAAAGCAATTTTTTTATATTTCTGTCTAGATTGGGACAGTTCAAACCGCTCAAATTAGAAGACATACAAATGACATTGCTTTATCCGTGTCAATATTAGCGCGTTCACATGACAAGCTTCTACCAATTCTCCTCTTCTATGTTCCGTAGTAACAGAGTTTCCAGCCAAGCAAGCATGAAACACATACAACTACAAACAGGTTTGTTTTGAAGCATGACCAGAGTGAGACTAAAAGTTGATGAGCAGGAAGGGGTGGGGATTGGGGAAGAACCTTCAAAGCCAAAGCAGAACCAACTGAATATGTATACCTCTAACAACATGGATGTTTTCACCAGTTTTTGGGTTCCATATCCTTAATGATGCATCATCTGAACCAGTACAAATAGTTTTACCTTCACAAGGCAAGAAATGCAAAAAATCAAACCTATGTTTACTATTGAGGAATAAAAGAGCTCAAGAAGATTCAAAAACCAAAACTCTTTTGGACGGTAAGAGTACTGAAGTACCATCAGGGGTAAAATCACCACAAGTTACATTGCTACCGTGACCAGAAAACATATTAAGATAGGCACTTTTGTCGGCATTCCACATCCAAACAGTAGAATCCTCTGAACCAGCCAAGACCACATGCCCCCTTGGATGCCACCTGACCCACTGAGTAATTAAAAAGTTCAGATCCAACCTTAATCTAATTATCTCATATCAAAAGTTATTGCCATATGACCATTAAAGAAAGTTTAATGTTCTCACCTCAATGCCCCCTCCAGGACCTTCAAGTGTGCACTTGAGACTACCTGAAGATATGTCCCATACTTGGATAAGTCCATCAAAGCTTCCTGAGGCAAGTAACTGCCCATCAGTGCTGAAGGCTAAACTAGAAACAGAATCCTTGTGCCCTGCATAGAAAAACAAATAGTTAGAATGTGCTCCCTTGAAGCTAAGCTAATCAATTAACTCAGTACAAGTAAATGCTGAACTTAATCAAAGAATTAAGTTTATGAACTCACTGCTGAATACTGATAAATGATGAATCTTGATGGTTAAAGCAAGAAAGATAAAGCAAAATAGGCTTGAGAAATTAGCAATCTAACCTACATCCACCCTTGGAGATATTTAAATTTTGAAATACCAGCTGCCCTTCTATAACACTTGCAGATTGTTGATTTTCCATTTTTTTATTTTCAGAGCATTAATTTAACATGGGGACTGATCTACTAATCAACAGTCCGGATCTGCTACCATTACCAACATGTTGGTAGCAACATTGCTTCCAACATAATTTATAGCCACACATCTCAAACATCTTGCATACTTGGATGTTGTCATTGATGGGGGTTGTACCATGGAGATGGCAATCATATTTTAGTTGTGTGGCTACAATCATGTGGGAAGCAATGCAGCAATCAACATGTTGGTAGTAGATCCGGACTCACAAAGAAGGTTGTCTGGAAGAGCCAAAGTAAGACAGGAACCATCAATGTGGCAACTGGCAACTTCCCTTGAAACCTGAAGAGAGTACCCATGTTCCTCCCTTTGACCTTCACTCATGGAACTGATAAGTTCCAACCCCAAAAGTATTGCTACATGTTCTGAATAAGAACTTCTTTATGGGATGTCTATTATTTTGTTGATAAACGATAGTTCACATTAATATTTAAGAGAGACCGATGCAGCATAAGTGGTCCTTACTCATTTGGACCATAGGCCCATACACACAGGATTTCCTTACAATTTATATGTCTCATCTTGATGCAGAAGCTGAAGAGTCAAAATTGGAATTTTATGAAATTTTATGTATTTCTGTATTTTCAGACAGTAGGGGGTATTTTTGTCATTTTGCACTTTTCTGTGGGATCCAACAATATGGTTTAATTTTTCTAGTTATAGTTTATTTATATTTAAAATTTCAGAGTCATTGAATAAGTAGGATTAGAGTTATTGAGTCTTCTTTGAATTGAAATAGGATATGACAGCTTAGTTTGAGTTCTACTAGGATTATCGAGTCTACAGTTTGACTACTAGAACCATTATGAGTTTTTTTTTATCAATAACAGCAACTTTTATTAAGAAACAAATGATAGAAAATTACAAAACGAAAGGAGAGGTAAAAACTCTTAACCCTCCCTAACATTAAAAATCAGATTACAACAATGCCCAAAAAATATTTGCTCTTCCCACCCCTTGTTTGGCCAAAGTGTCTGCCAGAGAGTTAGCACTCCTCTTGGCCTACTGAACCCGAATTTGCATGTTTTGAGTTAGCTGAATGATTTTCCTTTTTTCATTTGAAAACTTCCACAGACTGGACTCTTCCTTCTGCAGCCAGCTAAAAGTCAGCCTAGAATCACCTTCCACCAACAGTTTGCTGATTTTCAGCTGGCTGGGCTCTTTTAATCCCTTCCAGAGCTGATGAAATTTCAGCTCTCAATGAATCCCCCCAACCTATAGGTCCTGAGAACATGACAATAATTCAACCTTCTTCATCCCTGTAAACACTACCTATGCCTGAAAGGCCTGGGTTTCCTTCACTGCTGCCATCAAAGTTCAATTTAATGAACCCCAAAGCTGGCGGAGTCCAAGCTGGACTAAGGGATGTAGTCAAGGGAGCAGACCAAGCCACTTCTTTGCATTTTCTAAAGATGTCTCCTGCTGAATAACCTTCAAAGAGCTTGAGCTTCATAGACTTGACCCAGTGAACCACCCTAACATATATTAATTCAATGATGGCTTCCTTGCTTTTTTCGTCTTCATGAAAAGTTCTTTGATTTCTTTCTTCCCACACCGTCCAGCAAATGATGGCTTCATAGACTTGACCCAGGACCATTATGAGTTTAACAGCTTGACTCCAATGATTATTATGAATTTAGATTCTATAAATATGTATGGGCGTTTTACACAAAGAGCAATGAAGCTTATGAGTTTTCTTCAGCTTATGCTAACTATGGTGAGTGATTCCAGGTATTTTCTCTCTTCTTTCTCTCCATATTTTCTCTCTTATTCCTTCAAGAAGCCATTACAGCCATCAACAACCATAAAATTCTGATCAAAGAAGACCGTTCAACATTTTTTTGATAAGTAAAGAGTCATATTCCATTAATTCAAAGATCAGTTACATGAAAATCCCCTTAGAGATGCGTGCGAGGTGCTGCCTCTCCATACAGAAAACACAAAAACTACATCAAAAAGTGCATGACTGTTAAAAAAGACAAATTACAGTTGCGCCCAGAACAATGTTTCCCTGTTTGTCCCTTGTTTTGCCAAGACATCAACAAATGCATTAACTGATCTCCCAACCCACTGTACTGTTACAAACATATTCCTTGTCAATCATTTGAATTTCTTTATCTCATTCTTGTAGTCCCACGTGACATTCTCCGGATTATTTAACCAATTCACCACTGTCTTAGAGTCCCCTTCAACCAGAAGCTGCTCCACACCCATTTCTTTTGCAAGAAATATTCCTTGTACTGCAGCTAACAGCTCTGCCCGAATAGAGTTACCAACACCTAAAGGGCCAGAGTCTAGTACGACAGCCTCCCCAGCCTCATTCATCAATACACCTCCCAAACCAGAGGGACCCGGGTTGCCCTGGCTACTTCCATCAAAATTCAGCTTCAAAGAACCGTGAGGAGGGGGGACCCAGCTTGTCATTACCTTTACCTTTGAGGAGGAACAACTTGCTACTGATAACCAATCCCTCCAACAGTCAGCTTCAAAGACCATTCAACATTCCCTAAGGACTAGAACTGAGCTGGTTCTACATCACATTTTCTTGCAATACAACCCCCACATCCTAGGATTGGAGGATACAGAAGAGAATCTAGGAAGATGCCAAAAAAGATATTTTGTGTTTTTCTTTTATTTTATTACATTATTTGACTAGCAAGTAGTGTTAGGGTTTCTTTTCTCACTATAAATACTTGTATTACTTTACCAATAATGATATTTTGAAAACCACAAAATAAACATTACTTTGAATAAAGATAGTTTTTCTACCACTCTTGGAGTTTGTGCTTTGAGAAGTCCTCTCTCTTCCATTTTTGTAAAAGTTCTTTAACTGTATTAATATGAATAGTATCACAAAAGGATGAAGGACAAGATGGACATCAAACAGAAGAAATTTCTGAGCCCATCACAAAGATGTACAAGCAGCAAGCCATTCAAGTTTCCTAATGCAAATTAGCAATCAGAACTTGTCACGTATTCCATCTCGGATCATTTCATATCTATCTAAACCATCAGTTATAGCATACAAACCCCTAGGAATCCACCTCGGAACCAGAAAACAAGAATCAAAAGAAGCCAGTTTAGGAATCAGCAAGAGGTATAGTCTCCATGGTCCTCTTCCAAAACTGTTTCCCCAGTTAATGCACTAAAGGAGTGAAGGAGAATATTGAATTAAACTAGGAAGAAGGGCTTAAGATCGCCATAGTTCTAAGTTCATATTGAAAAGGTATCACATTCACTTTTGTAGAGCCTGCTTCACTAACAAGACAATTAAAGGCCCAAACCACATCATAGTTTATGTCTAAGGGCCCTTGATTGCCTAAGGGCACTGCCATCATCAAGAATCAATATCATCTCCCTAACTCCTCATTGAGAAAAAATCAATGAAAGTTTGGACAGCTTTTTTTTCGACCAACAAGTGAAAAGATTTTATTGATATTAGGAAAATGGGCAAGGCGTAGATTTTAGTTTCCAGAGATACATGATGAAAGATAGAAGAGTACAGCCAAAGCAAAAACCCCGCTCCCCCAAAAGCCTTGCATCATGTAAAGCTTGCTTTGACCCAAAGGGTATTCACACCCAAAAAAAACATCTGTCTATTCCTTCCTAGGCAAGGGAGTAAGCTAAGGAATTATCGTATTAGGGAATCCAGCAAATTTCTGCTTGCAATTTAGCAGATAGGTGCCTTGATATTTAGCAGACAGGTGCCTTGCTAGTTTGGACAACTATTTCTACTCGGGGAGAACTCCAATACAAAAGTAGCATGGGGCTGATGCAGACTGGAAGACTGGAGGAGTGAACATGTAGTCAATCCAGACAATCCCTTTCCAATGGATGGTGCAAGTACATGGATTTAGGTCCCATGGACACTGCGCTGTGAATATCCAAATAAGTGTCTACAGCGTGCCAAGAGCGCAGTGCAAAGCCAGGTTCCCATGTTTAAATGAAATAAATTGTGCTGAAAGATACCCAAATGACTGATAGCACAAAAGCTTTCTACAGTGTAGTTTCCACTTAACGCCTAAGTCACAATATGTGACCACACTTGCAACGAGACACGCTGAATCACAGTGCTGGCATAAAACCAAGCTCACTAATGTCCTACGAACCAGCGCATCAGCGCAGTAGTCCTCCGTGCTGTGATGACACACTGCCTAAGCGTTGTAGCACTGCAACGTGACAAGCACAAATGTATGTGACAACATATCACCTAAACACCGTAGTGCAATAACACAACATACTGCAATGAATTACCAATGCATCAACACTCCAAACAAAAGGCTAAGGCATACTGAGAAGCTTCTAGAGGCAAGGATGTAGCCAAGCACGTGCTCATGTGCAGGCTCTGAGGAAAAAAGTAGGAGCCCTGATCTCAGAATCTCCACGATGACATGTGGGGAAACCCTACTAGCGAACCTTCTGTCCTAAAATTAACCGACCGATAGACATTCTTGTCCTAGGAAAAGTCTCCTTTTCCAATACGTAGCTTCCTATTCTTTTAGGAAGTTCTCTACAAATAGAATAGATCTAAGCCCTCAACACACATTCATTATCAATTCCATGCCAAAGTACTGCATGATCATGATTCCAACCCTTCTCCAACTTCCATTAAAGATCCCCTCACAACTCCCTACAGCCTGACCCTCTCACCTTCTCCTTCCTGAGGCCATATGCTGCCTTTTAGGAAGACCTACATCATTGCCTTACCACCCCACTCACAAATGGTTTGGATAGGTTACAAGATTCTTTTTTTGAGAGAAAGGGTAACTTTATAAAATAGAGAAGAGAGAGTACATGAGATGATGTACAAAAGGCTAGTCACAAACAGGTTACAAAGGCATTATACTATTACTATATAAGTTTTCCCTATGAGCACCAGACTAGGGTAATTTATCTGCTACAGAGTTTAAATTCCTGGGAATCCAGATTAAAGATGCATTCAAGGAGTATATCAGATCTCTAGCCTCATCTATGTAGTGAGCCAAAATATGATATATATTTTATTCAAAAAAGAAAACATTGTGCATAAGTGAGATGATAAGGATGTAAAGAAGGCTACTAGGCCAAGAATTTTCCCGCATAGCAAATATGGGTGGCTCTTCTAGCAAGTTTCCCTACTTGACCCTATGAGGATACCCTTTTCTTTATAAGGTCAACTCTTTTTCTCTTTCTTTTCTTCTCTTTTGAAATAAGGTCTACTCTAACTTATAATCATACCACTTCTATAGTTTCTAGTTGGTAGGACACCAAAGAAATGAGTCTCAAACTCCCAAGGTGAGTATACCTTACCCCATTCCTCCCTAAAGTTAGGAAAGATGACCTGCAGAGTTTACAATTAAGGCATTGCTCTATTCTTGTTTACAACATAAAATTATGACCCTATACTTAAATATTATATTCTTTTAAATATTTAGTTACAATGCTAGTTAAAAATCCCATAACCAATTGAGTTGCTAGAATCCAATCCCCAATTTTCCATGCACATAGAACGGGATATTTTTAAAGTCATACATATCGAAGCAATACAAGATACAACTAGCACGTATAGAATCTTTCTGTGCATAGAGCAAGCATACCTTTAAGTTCAAAAGCCCAATCTCCTTGGCCAATCTTCCACATAAATCCCCTATCATCTCCTCCACCTGTTGCCACTAGTGCCGCATCTGTTGGACTGCATGCAACCGTATAAAGTTCACCTGCCCAATTTTTTTAATATAAAATGACAGGGTACTTATGATAAATTTCTCCTAATGCATAAAATGCAAAAACTAAGTATGTGTTTGGTTCCGTTTATGTTTATTGAATAAACGTTTGTACTTTATTTGCTGGTAAAACCGAGAAATGCAATAATTGCAACCGTTTATGACAACTAGGCACCACTTCAGCGTAACAGTGAATAAACGCCTGGCCGTTTGTGGAAGCTTCAAAAATTAACTTCTACAAACGGCTGGCATGCACATAAACCAAAGTTCACTTTTTACATTTTCGATGTATGCAGAAGAGCAAGAGAGAGAAAATGCTGAGATGGTGCCTATGTGGCACCATCAATAAACGTTTACTGAATAAACGTAAACAGTACCAAACACCATATAAGTCTAACAAAAAGCAGTAAATGAAGATTGATCTCCATGTTAACGTGGTAATCCAAACCCTGCCATGGGGACTATAGGCAAGACAAATGCAATGCCAAAAACTAAAATTCAAAAACAAAAAAAAAAAAAAAGTTAGAGAAAACAGAAAAGTCCACGCGCTTTATTGGAGTCTGCATGAAATAAGCTCTAAGGACTAAAGCGATAACAATTGGCACCAAGTTTGGGTCACAAAAACATAATATTGAAAGAACAGATATCAAACATTTTATATGGATAGAGATCTGGGTATTTTACCAGTATGGCCAGTGAACACGTGCATTGAATCGTCAAGTTCCTCTGCAACCACGTAAGAGAACAAACAACTTAATAGGATAACATACTCAATAATTCAAAGCACCACCCGATTTTTCTGGACCTAGTAGCGCAATCGATTCTTTACTTTCAGTTTGACTTGAATTTCTCAGTACAGATATATCCATTGAGACGGGAGTACACTATGAACATGAAAAGGAACAGCACAAGTATCGTAATTGAACATACCAATATCTTCAGCATCTGGACCGGCTTCATCTTCCACATCAGGAAGATCTGCACGTGCAGCTAAAGAATTTAGAACTATATTTTCACAAAGAGAGAGTGGAAGAGGAGAGAATCCCGCATAGGGTACCTTCTTCGTCGACAGTGATTTCATTGATGATGTCATCTTCATCGAGGAAGACCTCTCCATTGTCGTCCTCGTCATCACCATGACCGTGCATCGTTGCTGCTAAATTGCTCAAAGAGAAAGGGTTTTGCAGGGTTTTATTCTCCCTTCGCGGGAAAATGCCCTTCTGTTTTTAAAACCCTACTTGGTCGATCACTAGTGTCATCATAATCATATCCTTCGAGTTCAGGGCCGGGCCGCAGTAACGATCCAACCGCACCCAGGGCTGTCAGACTCGGTCCGGACCGGAGAGACAAACCAATGACCCGGTGGCCTTCTCCGGGTCCTGGTTGATTGACGGATTTTCACGGTCTGGATGAGCTAACCGGTAGAACTAGAACTACGACCCAATGAGAATTCCTGTTTTTTATGTCAGTCAGAGTGCCCGTTTGGGAGGGGCATTTTTAAGAAATAATTTAAGATAAACTATTGAAATCTCCCTTGAAGTATAATAATTCCAATTACCTCCCCTGAATTTTTTAATACAGTTGCAAGTGAACCCTTTCTGGTAGAATCTTCTAAAAAAAGGCATAAAAATGTCTAAAATACCCATATAGTTACTATTGAGACTGGTTTATATGGGAAAAATAATACAAACTTTATGAACAACAAAAACAAAGGGAATTTAAAGTTTTAGCTTTACTTTGAGTGACTGATATAAAGGGCAAATTTGGAAAATAAATCAATTTCAGGAAAAAAAATGGAAGGAATTGGAGTAGTGATTCATATCAAGAGAAAATTTGAAAAACAAACGTTTTTGTTAAAAATAATTGCACGAGTATTTTAGACATTTTCATGCCTTTTATTAGAAAATTCTACCAGAAGGGTCTATTTGCAACTGTCATAAAGTTAAAGGAAGGCAATTGCAATCACTAAACTTCAGGGAAAGATTTCAACAACTTACCCTATCTATCTATCTAACTAGGTAGTGAAGAAATTTTCTATTTTTTTGAATTTTTTATTTTTTATTCATTGTCATTTTTGAAACAACTAATGAGATGCACTTTTCCAATAACCTAAATAAGCTCTTCTCCTAAAATTTCTCCTAAACCTCCCCAACTATCCCCCAAATTCTCCAAAATATCTCTAATTCATATTTATCTCCAAAATTATCTCTAATTTTGTAGGGAGTTTCTCTCCTAAATTATCTCTAATTCCTATTTATCCTCTCCCCTACTTTTTATCTATATTTATCTAAATAAAAGTTTGGATTAAAAAATTTAAGAATTATTAAATATTTTAACAAAATTATATAATAACTTTAAAATATTTATCAAAAACACAAAAAATAATTTTATATTTTTAAAAAAATATATCACAAAATTATTTACTAACAATTTAAATTATGTTTTTTCTAGATTATCAATTTAAATATTTTTCAAATATTTAATAATATGTAATAGATTTAAATAAATAAAATTAAAATAACAAAAATTTTAAATATTTTATAGATTATTTAAATATTTAAATAACTAAATTTTAAATAGTTAAAATAAAGAAATTGTGTAATAAATTTGAAAATTCTAAAAAATAGAAAAATAATTATAACATAATATTGAAATTAATAATAATTTAATATTTTTACGTAATATTGTAAATAACTAATTTCACTTATATCAAGTAATAATTTGAGGAAATAACTTTCAAAAAAACTTAATATTTATTAATAATAATTTTAAACTCTTAATATGTATTTATTATATAATTATATATACTAAAATTAATATTTATTATATTTTAGTAATTATTTATTGTTTTTTGTGATAAATGCATTTTCAATGATTATGTATAAATTTATTTTGTTTTATTATTTAACAAATAACTTTCAAAAATGATTAGAGATTGAACTACTATTATTGAAATTTTTAAATTTCATTTATTGTATTTTTGTTATAACTTATTGATTAATATTTATAAAAGATTAAACTATTATTTGAGATTATGCTAATTATTGATTAAGTTAATATGTTTTTAGTACTTATTGTTGTTTTTGTAATTACTTTTTCCTTATCAATATATTTTCAATAGTTGTGTATTTTCGCTATAAATTTTCAATAATTATTGGAGATGAAATTATTGTTATTTATCATATATGAGACTACTAATTTAGCCGAAATTATGAGTGTTCATTAGTTGGTTCGGTTTGGCCACAGGCTATTTGGCCAACCAAATTGACCTGATCAGGTTGGGGAGTTGGTCAATTGAAACCGATTGACCTTTTGTGAAAATCGACCCACTAAAGTTGTATTGGTTTGGATCGATTTTTTGGTTTGGCCAGTCAGTTCAAAAGATTTAAACTTAAGAATTAAATTAAATTTTAAAAATTATAATGAAGTTATTAAAAAATAAATTTAAAAATTAGATTTATGATATAAAACATCTTAGACTAAGAAATATGGGAACTTTCCCACTTTTTCATATTAAAATTTATATTTAAAATATAAAATATGAATATATATCCATGGTTAGATTGTTCGATTTTGGTTAGTTTACAAATGGCCAAAGTGAAACTGATCTAACTTGGTCGAATTGGGAAATTTTTTAATCAAAGCCGACCTAAAATACTAGAAAAATGGTCTACTCGAGTCGAGTGTTACATTGTGGAGATGTGTAGTACTATCATCAAGAGATGTTCCCAATACACAGTGGAGATGTGTAGTGTTACATTGTGGAGCGCAGATGTGAATTCTACTCTTATGTGTTTCTATTAGGGTCATTTACTATAACACACCTTATTAGGGGTGAGCATTCGGTTTTTTCGGTTCAAAATCGAACCAAAGAAACCAACATTTTAAAAACCGATTTAACTATATGATAAACTGAAATTTAAATTGAGATATTTGAAAATTGAATAAACCAAACCGAATTTTTTTTTTGGTTATTTTGGTTAAAACTGAAGTTATTTAACCTAAGTGAAGGAAGCAGATTTTGTGATTTTTTTATGGGAAAAAATTGTGAAGAAATTCATGGAAAAGGTTTCAGATTTTTTTATGAGAAAAAATTGAAGTTTTAAACACAGATTCCATACAAAATAAAAAATAAGAAAAAAAAACTTCAAATGAATTTATGTAAAAGGTTTCAAAAGAAAAAAAAGGAGTTTGGGAACGATGGCAAGTCGGCAGTACTTAACACTGGACGGCAGCCGACGCGATGACGCAGTTTTGGGAACGACGGGCGGCACCGACGGCAATTGGAGGTGAAGAAAAACGATTGAGGTCTAATGAAGGAAGGAAGAGCGGAAGTCTAGCCGTCTGGGTCTGGGACTCTGGTTTGATGGTCTCTGGAGTTTGGAGTCTGGAAGGAAGACTTAGCGGCTTAGTCTTTGTCTCTTTGACGCCCGCACAAGCTTTCACTCTTTCAGATTGAGGAAGGAAGATGAAGAGTCAAAGAGTGAAAGTGTGAAAGACTCTTTTAGACTTTACGTAATACATACGTTATGCTTATTTTGGAAATTTGGCAAATAGTAAAATCAAATATGTATTAATTTATTAAATATTAATATAAAATTATAAAATATAATATAAATAATATTAAAAATATATAATTAAAAAATTAAATCGGTTTTTTCGGTTAATCGATTTATCAAAATGATAACCAAAACCGAAAACTGAAATACAAATGAACTGAATAGTAAAATCAAATTCGACTGATAAACCGATTAAACCGAAACTGAAATTTTAATTTGCTTTTTCGGTTTTAACCGAATTATGCTCACCCCTACCCCTTATAGTTTTACATGCTTACTTAAACCTACCTTATAGTTTTCATTTTATTAAAACATCCCATATATTTTATAATTTATTTACTTAATCAACCTTTCATTAAGGAGTGCTTGTTTGTTTTCGCTTAATAAATCTTGTGCATTGCACGGGCCCCGCTAGTATATAATAAAACAAGGCAATAAAGAAATTTTCTCATTTTTTTGAATTTTTTATTTTTTTATTCCATGTCATTTTTGAAACAACCAATGAGATGCACTTTCCTAGAACCTAAATAATCTCTTCTAAAATTTCTCCTTAACTACCTCCCCTACTATCCCCCACTTTTTCCAAAATTTCTATAATTCCTATCTATCTTCTAAATTATATCTAATTCCTATTTATCTCCAAAATTATCTCTAATTTAGTAGAGAGATTATAATTTATTAGAGAGTTTCTCTCCTAAATTATCTCTAATTCCTATTTATCCTCTCCCCTACTTTTTTATCCATATCTATATAAAGAAAGTTTGGATTAAAAAACTTAAGAATTATTTAAATATTCTAATAAAATTATATAATAACTTTAAAATATTTATTAAAAATACAAAAAATAATTTTATATTTTTACAAAATATATCATGAAATTATGCACTAACAATTTAAGTTATGTTTTCCAGATTATCAATTTAAATGTTTTTCAAATATTTAATAATATGTAATAGCTTTAAATAAATAAAGTTCAAATAACAAAAATTTTAAATATTTTATAGATTATTTAAATATTTATCATTACTATATTAAATAGTTAAAATAATGGAATTATGTAATAAATTAAAAAAAAATCTTCAAAGTAGAAAAATAATTATAACATAATATTGAAATAAATAATAATTTAATATATTACAAAATTAATAATGAAATTATGTAATAATAGCATAAATTATGATTTTATGGATAATTAAATTCAATAAATAATTAATATTTTAAAATTTAAATATTTTACATATTATTTAAATAACTAAATATTTTAAATAACAAAAGATTTAACATAACTATATTTTAAATAGTTAAAATAAATAAATTATGTAATAAATTTAAAAAAATTCTGAAAAGTAGAAAAATAATTATAACATAATATTGAAAATAATAATAATTTAATATAATATTGTAAATAACTAGTTTCACTTATATCAAGTAATAATTCGAGAAAATAACTTTTAAAAGAATAATATTTATTAATAATATTTCTAAACTCTTAATCTGTATTTATTATACAATTATATATACTAAAATTAATATTTATTGTATTTCAGTAATTATTTATTTTTTGTGATAAATGTATTTTCAATGATTATGTGTAAATTTATTTTATTTTGTTATTTAACAGAAAACTTTCATTATTATTGGAGATTAAACTACTATTATTGATTTTTTTAATTTAATTTATTGTATTTATTATATTTTGGTTATAACTTATTGATTAATTAATATTTATTAGAGATTAAACTATTATTTGAGATTATACTATTTATTGACTAAGTTAATATATTTTTAGTACTTATTGTATTTTTGTAATTATTGTATTTTTTCATTATCAATATATTTTCACTAAAAATTTTCAGTAATTATTAGAGATTAAACTATTGTTATTTATTGGATATAAGACCATTAATTTAGCTAAAATTATGAGTGTTCATGAGTTGGTTCGGTCTGGCCTTAGGCTATTTGACCAACCAAATTGACCTGGTCAGGTTGGGGAGTTGGTTAGTTATAACTGATTGACCTTTTGTGAAAACCGACCCACTCAAGTTGTATAGGTTTGGGTCAGTTTTCACAAAAGGACAATCGGTTCAAAAGATTTAAACTTAAAAATTAAATCTAATTTTAAAAAATTCAGTGCAATTATTAAAAAATTAGATTTATGAAATAAAACATTTTAGACTAAGAAATATGGGAAATTTCTCACTTTTTCATATTAAAAATTATATTTAAAATATAAAATATTAATATATGTATATATATCCATGGTTAGGTCTCTTGATTTTGGTCGGTTTACAAATGGCCAAAGTGAAACTAATCCAACTTGGTCGAATTGGGAGTTTTTTGAACCAAAGCCAACATAAAATAATAGAGAACCGATCAACTTGACCGCAATTATTAAAAAATTAGATTTATGAAATAAAACGTTTTAGACTAAGAAATATGGGAAATTTCTCACTTTTTCATATTAAAAATTATATTTATAATATAAATATATATATATATATATATATATATATATATATATATATATATATCCATGGTTAGGTCTCTCGATTTTGGTCGGTTTACAAATGGCCAAAGTGAAACTGATCCAACTTGGTCGAATTGAGAATTTTTTGAACCAAAGCCTACATAAAACAATAGAAAACCGATCAACTCGGGTTGAGTTGATCGGGTTGGTCGGTTTCATAAGTTTGATGAATAAACTTAATTGAAATTAATTATTGATATTTTTGTATTATAAAAAATTTATCAAAAGTAGTATATAAAATATGAATAATTATTAATTATTTTAAAAGTTGAAAATATAAAACAATTGTACACTCTTATGTGTTTCTGTTAAGGTCATTTACTAGAACATAGTTTGTAGTTTTACATATTTACTTAAACCTACCTTATAGTTTTCATTTTACTAAAACATTCCATATATTTTACAACTTATTTACTTAATCAACCTTTCATTAAAGAGTGTTTGTTTTGCCTTTAGGACGATAATTTTTTATTCCAAAAATACCTTTTAACACTTTTTTATACATAAAACAAAATTGGCTAAATATAGCAAATAGAGTGGTTGCCTGTGTCTTATTAAGGGCAAAAATGGTATTTTTATTTATATTTTATTTTGATTAAATTTATTTAAATGAACACTAGGGTCAATATTGTCATTTTTCACTATCATCTAATGGAAGATTGATTAAATCCATTGCAAATTATAAGTGGTGTTTTAGTAAAATGCTTATAATTATAGGGTAGATTTTAGTAAGTCCATGAAACTATAAGGGTATTTTAGTAAATGACCATTTCTATTTTTTTTTTCTTTTGCTTAATAAATCTCGTGCATCACACGAGTCCCGGCTAGTTTTTTATAACAGAAAGAAAAATAATGCAAAGGAAAGCGACAAGTTGAAATAACCCACCTGAGAAGTGAATAAAATAAAACAAACACTCACCACCCAAAACTAGTGTTTTAAGACTCAGCCCGGACCATGAAAAAAAAAGGACTTTTCATGGCGGTTTTTTACATGCTGAATGGGCAAAACCGTTTAATTAACCGGTAAATCTAACACCAGTCCAAGTCTTGAAACATTAACTCAAAAGTCAAAATCCTAGAATTCAAACGATACAAACACAACACTCACCAGTCACCACCCGAAATTCAACTACGAAAATCCGCTTCTTCCATGGGAAAAAAAAGTCAAAGCCTCGTTAATTTTCTCAGCTCCTTTTCTAGTTTTATTCAACTTTTTCGAATGCCTTATTCCAAACTTCCAGATTGTTACCATTTTAATGCTTCTTCTCGCATCAACTGCCTCCAACCCTTTTAAACCAAAAACTTCCAGATCAGTCTAAGGTTGCATTTGGCATTTTTTATTTTAAGGACTTATCTGTCAATTTTTTGCAATTAAAAATTTTGTATTCTTTAACTGCAAAAAAAAAAGATAAATCCTTAAAATAAGGAATGTAATCTAAATGTTTTCCTGAAAGTTATTCTTCCATTCCCCCTTACCTTCACATTTCCACTTATACTCTATCCAATCTCGTTTGTCCCCCTCAATCTAAGATATATGGTTTTCAATGGCTTCGGGTGTTGCAAGGTAGGCTCAACACCATGGTTTTTAAAAATGAATCAGTGATCGAACTGGTCAGAGGTCCGGTTATTGGTTCACAAAAAAATTAAAAAAATTAAAAAATTGGAAAGCGGTTAATTGGCCGGTTCAGCGGTTTGTTGACTAAAATCAACGGTTTTGAGGGAAAAAGCGGTTTTGGAGGAAAACGGAACCAGTCAGGTGACCAGTTCCCGGTTTTCCGGTCCGACCGTCCGGTCTGGTCCAGTTTTGAAAACAGTGCCCAACACTAAAAGCTCTGGAATAGTTTTTGGTGCAAAAAATAGAAAGTCAATAATAGATTTATATGATTTTGAAATCTACTTTTTTCTAAACAGCAGTTCAATCAACGCTAAAATCTTTCCAAAATAAGCCATGATGAAATCGGATTTACTCCTCACAGAATGTGCCTTACACCAACCTCAGAGCACATGGTAGTCATGCATTAAAAATGTTTCTCAGACTTGATGTTATCATTCATGGAAAGATGTTTCCTATGCATAGATGTTGATGAAGGGTGATTTGGCCCGACCTATTAATAGGGGGACACGTGGACACGACCTAACTAGTAAGATGACAACTTAGCCTGACATGCCAAGTCCGCAACAGATCGAGTTCGGATAGTGAAACCACCTCGGGACGAGTGCACCTCGGTGTAAGGTTGCATCAGGACCACCTCGGTCCCAAGGCACTTCGGTGTTCACCCCAGGTCGAATCTAAAGAGCACTAGCTCGGGTAATATTGACGGACCACTACATGGCAACCCCAAAGATCTAGCCGTCAAATTCCGAACATTGTAGGATCACACCTCGTAATGGTAAGCCTTATCTCCTCCCCGCCCGATTCGGGCAGAATTGATAAACCCTATCGGTTATCCCCCATTAACGCGGAAACGGATCTCATCGTGACGAGGATCCTGGAACCGCTCCGCGAAACCCGCGAGGACTCCACTATATAAAGGCTCTACCCCTGGAGGCCCAAGGTATGTGTGATTTCTCTGCTCTCTAAGTTTTTCAGCTCGCAACCAAGTATACTGACTTAAGCATCAGAATGACCTTGTCGGGCAAACAACCCCGGGTTCTCTGATTCTTCTTTTGCAGATCGGCCTAGTCCGCCGTTTACTGGATGCCAGATCACCTTCAGCAGGGAGTAGTCAGATCGCGCTTCATCAGATGTGATGCAATGTAAGGTTGGTGTGAGGTGAGCTTTGTGAGAAGCAAATCCAAATCTGACAGGACTGTGATAATATTGTCTAACTAACATGACAAATGTGGATAGATGCATGGAACTAACTCAGACCTTGTAGAGCCAATAAACAATTGATTCAAACCAACTTAATTATTAAGAGAAAATCTATGATGCAGAAAAAATACGGTATGAATAGAGTTTTGACCAATCAAAACCCACCCATGAACTTTGATAAATAACACATTATTCGTTACCATATTTATGATTCCAGTTTGTTGGTTAGTTGTTTTTTGAATATCATATCTTTTCCATATCATAGTCAAACCCATTTATTAATCTAGATTATTGGACCTAGAAGATGGAGAACAAGCTGAACTCATAACAAGGAGATATAGAGAAGCCCTAAAAGGATTGGAGGAATGAAACTTAAATTTTAATAGAGGCCTGACGTTCGAAGCAGAGCATAGACGATTTGTGCCATCTCCCTTCGTCCTCTCTGTAGGCCCTTTCAACTCCTCTGTTCAAAGTTGTTTGGATTTCTTCTCTATCTCATTTGTAATCGTTGTTCCTTTAATTCCCTGATCAAAATATATTGGCCATGATCTTTTATGAATAAATTTGCATGTTTCCATCACTTTTATATTGAAGCTTTGACAGATCAGTAAATAAACTTGGTAAATGCAAGTAGTCAAAAATGACATAGTAAGCAGGTTTCTTTGTTTTGTACTGTGTTGAACTATGAACAAGATTATCTGTGATTTGCATTATGTTTAGTTGTAATAAGTCAAAAAATGCAAGAAAACATAAAAAACGGCTTTTTATTTTTTAAATTATTGCAGTGGTAAGCACTTTCTATGACAAATAATAATCAATCCACAAGTTTAGTTCCATCTTGATTTTCTGGGAACAAGCTTGTGCATGGAATCCAAGGTTCCAATTAATTACTTTGTTGAGGCATGTGCTACATTCTGTTTGATATGGGAAATCCTAATTATGTCCAGAAAAATATTTTACTTTTGAAGAAATATTTATTCCACTAATCATTATTTCGGTTTGATTATTTAAGTGATGAAATCATTACTTATTAGCTTTTGAATACTAGATTTTGTAAAACTTAGAACGAAATAATTTTCTTCACATCATTGAAAAAGAAGATAGTTGTCTTGGCATGATTCTATGTCTAATAAAATTTATGTACTTGCAATCTATTCATAGTAGTAGTATTCAATATGCACTTCACATATTCTGGATAATGTGACAAATAGAAAGTTATTGCAACATAGGAACTGGTTTAGTAATAACATAGATTTAACATGGTGAGTAACAAAGTATACATGCCATAACAAGTACTAGGATTGGTTCTATCATGTATCAATAGGAGTGCCAACATCTGGAAGCATTCGGGAATCGAAGGTTAGGTTTTGCCCCTGCTAAATTTTGAATTCAAACTAGCTTTATGTTCTGATAATAACAAGATAGGAAGAAATGACAGGATTCTTGGTGGTAAAATTTTGAATTCAAAACTAGCTTCTGTTCTTGTTGTTCAGTACTTTATAGCAAGCTATGTTGTTCAAAGTTTGTTTCTGAATTTTGATTGCTATGGATTACAATGATGGAGATTTCTCCCCTGCTAGTTATTATAGTTCATTTCAGAAAGCATGGTCAATCCAGACCATCTCTTGATTCTGTTCCTTGTAATATGAAACAGTTAAATTTGTTCTTTTTTTTTTCCAACAAGTCCTATGAAAAGGCCACTGTGGTCAATGATGATGATGCCAATGATTTTCTAATGATTCCTATGGGTATACCATGTGGACATTCAATGGTTGGTACTTTTATTGGGAATGCCAACTCCACTAGAGCTGTAGTTGTTTCTCTTCTTACTGGGGTTAGGATTGCCAAGTAGAGACATTTAATCTCCATGGCCATTGGAGGTAGACCTGTTCATAGGCCAGGCTTCAGGCTTGGCTTTACACTATTTTGGGTTCAGGCTTTGGGCCAAGCCATTCAAAATTTGGCAAAAGCTAAGCCTGAGTCTGGCCCATGAACAAGTCTAATTGAAGGTAATTCCACAAATGCATTCAGGTGGAGTCTATGTATGTTGAAGTGGATCTTGAAGATTAATGTTCACTACCTCAACCAGATAAGGAAGTACACCTTACTACTTTCATGTACAGTAAGATGGATTCATCTACTACATGATTTTGACTATGATGGTATCAGAGGATCTTATTGTTCTTGAACTAGAACAACAAGATGGTATCAGAGGAAGAAGATTTTGACTATGATGAAAATGTTGATATTTACTAGCAGGGATCTTATTGTTCTTGAATTCATTATAAATAGAACTATGGGAATTGCTAAAAACTGTAAGTTCAATACTAATTTTGTATTCCTTACCATCTTTTGATATTTACTATCACGGAAGAATCACAGTTGATACAAGCTTTAGTTGAAAGGATTTTGACTGTTTCAAGTAATATTCCATTAGGTGTGGCTAAGCATCTTGTTGGTCTCAATTGCAGAAGTTGAGAAAGATTCTTCCAGATGACCTCCATAATTTGTTAAAGATCAGTAATGATGCATTGGATGAAGAGAATAAACGGATATTCCTTGACATTGCATGTTTCTTTTCTAGCATGGGCATGAGCAGAGAAAGTGCTATTGATTTAAGATAGAGAAGATTTAAATGATATCAGAAAGAAAGTGAACTAGAAGTTAGGTTAATCCAATGTCTCCAAGGCAAACCAGCAAGTTTTGACCCCAGAAGTTTGGCTACAAGAAACGTGATTACAACATCAATGTTTCTGTAAACTAAAAAATCACTAATGAACTTTTATCTATTTTTATTCTTTAGACTAGTTAACTATATTCTCAGGCAATTATTTTTGATAATTAACATCAATTATATTAATAAGATATAAGAACCCGAATCTGTCCGGAATGGACAGAAGGGGAAGTACAAAGACAACACAAATCTGAACACACACAAAGATAGTATACATAAGACAGATTACAAAGGGATCCCTGGCCCAGGCCAACCCCATTCACACCAGCTGAAACTAAACTATCAGTTAGGGAGTTGGCTGATCTTGTGACCCACTTGAATGAGCAGTTCAGGTTTCTTCCCTAATTTCTGGACTCCCTAACTAAAACTCTAAACTTCCAGGCTGGATCCACATCATAGTTGAGCCAAGAAATAACCACCTTACAATCGTTTTCCATGATGACCTCCCTATATCCATTTCTGCAAAGTCAACATTTTAAGCCCTTGAATTACTGCTAACAGTGATCAGCCTTCAGAGAAATACCAAAGCCAACTGAACCATAAAAGTTCGTTTAATGGATCCAATATCATCACTTGCCGCAACACCAATCCTGGATTCACCAGGGTTTCCTACACAGCAATCATCAAAATTTAACTTGAGCTTGCCTGCTTGTGGAGGCTGCCAGTATATAATAATCTGTGGACAGTGTGGACTTTCCCGATGAAGAGCAAGGGAAGATTGGATGTGGTTATTGGAGCAAAGCTTCTGGACTGGATGCTGATTCTACCAGAATTGAAAGTGGTTGGATTCTTAATGCCAGAGGTTATCTGCTAAGAGCTAGCTGAGGTAGTTGGTTGAATGACTTACTGTTTTGTCTTTGTAGTGAACTAGTTGAATGACATATATATGCAAGAGGAGAGATGACAAATAAATGTGCGAACTATTCGTTACAACTATATAAACATGAACAATCTAGTTATTTTAATAGAATGTTCTATCTCATCCCACTTTCACGTGGCAAATATATATGTAATCTTACACGTGCTACCCTCTAACATATTATTACTACATAAGATGCCAGGGAAAATAACACCTGATTGGCTACCACGTTTATGATTAATTTCAATTGACTGATCAGAAGTTTTTCAGATATCATATCTTTTCCATATCACAGTCGAACCTTTTTTTTTTTTTTTTTAATTTGGTTCTAGATCATACAGATATTTGGTGTTTTAGCACAATTTTTTTTAACACATTTTTTGTGATTCCAAAATCTAACTACACCGTGCTATTTTAACCTTATTTAGCATTGATTCAGTACATTTCACATTGAAAACCAGTTTATCTCAAATCCCAATATTTAGGGGGTGTTCTTTTTTTTTGGATTTTGAGAGGAGGGAAAGTTGGTCAATGGGATTATGGTTCCCATTGACCAAGAATCCCATATTCTTTTTTTAGACTTATGTGGGAACCAGGGAAAGTTTATAGGTAAGTGATACCCACCTCTTAGGTGGGTAAATAACCTTCCCACCTAAGGGGTAAGTTGCCAACACTTGAATGGGACAAAAATGCCATTTTTAATAATGGATTTTTATAACTAAAATGGTCATTGCCTTATTTACAATAGAAACAAAAGAACATGGGTAAATGCACTTACCCGAGTAAGTGTTTCCCAATAAAAACTTATCCAAGTAAGGTAAAAACTTAACAAAAAGCGAACGGGGCCTTAACACAATCACACCACGACGTGACTTGATATGCAAAAGACCATTAAGAGTTTAGTAAGTTAATTAGAGCCCATCCGGTTGAAATCTAACCGCTTCATGACTACTTCCTATAAGGTTTAGATCTCGAAAATTATCAATATAATATAAAAAAGACATGATACTTGAAAGTTTTATAACCAATCAATTGGTATCATAAAAATGATAATTAATCAGGTGGTATTTATTGCGCTTCTCTATTTCTCAAAGGTGTTTTCAATATCTCATGGGAAATCATAAATTTAGAGATATTTTATGGATTCAACACAACAGTAGTAACAAAAAGACATAATACTAGGAAAACTTATAACCAATTAGGTAATTCACATAATTTTCTTACTAACTGTTTGTGCTTTTCTTTAACATCAGTGTTATGTAGGCATTTCAACGTTAGCTAATATTTTTTGGGTAAATTTCTGAAACCTCTCTTGAAGTTATTGGTAATTGATGAAGCTTCTCCTAAAGTTTGATAATTGCAATCACCTCCCTAAACTTTCTGACATAATTGCAAGTAGACCCCTTTTGGTAGAATTTTCTAAAAAATGCATAAGAATGTCTAAAATATTCATGCAATAACTTTAAACAAAAATGTTTGTTTTCCAAATTTTCTCTTCATATGAATCACTATCTCAAACCCTTCCGATCTCTTTTCTAAGATTGATTTATTTTTCAAATTTGCCCTTCATATCAATCACTCAAAGTAAATCTGCAATTTTAAATTCTCTTTGTTTTTGTTGTTCATAAAGTTTGTATTTTTTTTTATTGTAAAAACCAGCATCGGTAGTAATTGCATAGTTATTTTGGACATTTTCATGCCTTTTATTTAGAAGATTCTACCAGAGGGGGTTTACTTGCAATTGTATTTAAAAGTTCAGGGGTAATTGCAATTAAAGATTGGTGGGGCACAACTTTGGTGGGCCCAATCCAAGTCTAGACCAACATAGTCTGCAATTTTATATGGATTGGGCTTGGATTTTTGGTTTGTGGACTAGGTTTAGGCACAAAATTTTGGATATATATATATTTTTTTTAATTTTTCAGGTTGGACTTACGCCTAGCCCTTAGGTAGCCCAAATTGATCTTATCCCAATCCAAGCCCGGCCCGGTTATATACATGTATAAATGCATATATATAGACACATATATACATGCATACATGTATATATGTATATTTTTGTTTAATAAATCATACATATATGCATATATCCATACACATACACATACATGCATGTCAATTTTTTGTGTGAACTGACTAACCAAACTGAACCTAGCTCGGGCCCAAGCCCAACCTAAATGCATCAAATTTTAGTGCGGGTTAGGCTCATGTTAGATAGTTTGGGCTTGACCTTAGGCTCAAACCAGACTTAGGCTTTATCTTAGGGTTGAGCTAAAACCCAACCTAATTGTTGGACTTGCACCCCAACAAAATAGAATGGTGAAGATAAGATTAGTCTCAAACCCCACATACTAGTGAAAATTAAACAACATTTAGGGTCTATTTGGTTCACAGTTGGAATTGGAATCAAAATTGGATTTGAAATGGTCTATTCCCATAGTCTGTTTGGTTTAGACGGAAATAGAAATGGGAATGAGAATTAGAATAAGTAGGAACGAGATTTCATTCCCAAGGGAGGGGTAGGGAATGACCATTCTCTCAAATGGGGGAATGCCATTCCAACAGGAATGAGAAAGGAATTCCGGTTCCGCCCAACCAAACAGTTGGAATTGGAATAGCCTATTCCGATTTCGATTCCAAACCCCTATTCCCGCGAACCAAACGGAGCCTAGTGTTGAGGATTATGATAATATGAATATTTTTAGTTTTTTATTTTTATAAACAGGATAAATAATAAAGACTCAAAATTCATTGCGAGGATCTTGGTAAAAAAATCATTCCAAATTTTCCGAGGACTGACCCACCGGGTAGAGGATGTAAGAGAGACCCTGTAATTGTATAATAGTCAGAGATCGGTTCGGGTCGGCCGGATCAACCCGTCTCATTGATAGGTCTACCAAAAACCTAACAGTCCTTGGGTCAAGATAGCGTTAGAACGGCATTTTTTTTTTTCCTCTAGAGAAACCTGTTAATTTCGTGTGTGGGCAACCGTAGCGCAGTATCTTACATTCTTACTCGGCTGGTCCACAATCTTTCCCGCGTTAAAATTCTGGAGACGGATTTGCGCGAGTTTGCATTATACCGAACGGCGCAGCCTAGAATTTTTATTTGTCTAGTGTTCGATCAAATTGGATTTGGGTTCGATACTTCGAGCTTAAGGAAAGCGCTTCTCGATAGGACGCGTTTGGAAGCCGAGGGAGGACGCAGCGTGAGTGAGTTTTCCTATATCGCCATCTCTTCCCCTCTTTTTCCATATTTTGTCTTTTTTTTAATGAATTAATTTAATCTATTTTTTTTTTCGCTTCCAATCTTAGTTCAGTGTTAATTGAGATAATTAACTGCAATATCCATTAGGATTTGGGAGGATTTAAGAAGAAAGCCGTGTTGCATATAAATCATATAGAAATCGAAGAGCATCTTCCCAACTGATCGATCTCTATTCTTTCGCTTTCAGATCTCCAATTATTGGATTTTTGATATTTTTAGGAGAACGCTTGTTGTTGTGGTTGCTGGGGTCGTGAAGGTTGTTGAATTAGGGTTCTGGAGCTTCAGTTAAGGCCATGTCGATGCTCGATGCATTCTTCAACAAGGGATTCAAAGGAGCCAAATGGTAAATTGTTTCTTTGAGCCTTGAATTCCTTGATTTGTTCTGTTTCTACTGATTTTAATGGATAAAATGCGTGGCACTGCTGTGTATTCATTTGAAATGTAAATTACGGTATTGGGTTTTGAAACTTGTTTGTTCGATCGGTTCCTGTCTTTTCTTTGTTTTCCGCAAGTTACGAAGTTCAAGAGTTGAGATTGTTTTCGATTGGATCATGGCGCCAGTCATATATACGTTAGTGGCTCAAAATTTCTCCTTATTATTTGCCTAGATGTTGGAGAAATAAGATATTAGTTGTTTCAATTTGTTAGGCATTTTTTGTCTGCTGAATTTAATTGTGATTATTGTTTGTGTTTCCAGTAAAACCCTTCTGAAGCTGACTATTCCGCGCATAAAGTTGCTGCGGAACAGAAGAGAGGTTCAGATAAAACAAATGAGGAAGGATATTGCCAAGCTTCTTGAGGCTGGGCAAGAAGCAACAGCTCGCATACGCGTATGATAGCTTTCTCTCCTGAATTCAAGTTTTATAAACACCTTATCCACATATAGATAAATTATAGATGTCTCCCATTTACTTAACTTGAATGCGATTATTTTGGTCTTTGGAATTCCTTTCAGGTGGAGCATATTATTCGTGAGGAGAATATGATGGCTGCGCAGGAGATTATTGAGCTGTTTTGTGAACTTATTGCCGTCCGTCTTCCCATTATCGAGGCACAGAGGTGATTTATCAACTTCAAATTGGGGCTGCCAAATATTTCATGATGCACAGATTACAAATATTTCATGTTTTACCTTGATAATTCTTGTCCTTTTTTCTGGTGGCTTGGTGATTTTAATGCATCTCCAGAATCATTAAGCTAGGCTATTAAATCATGAAGGAAAAGATCAAAATACAGTCAGGACCAATGCATAAACAAATTTGTGGCGTCTGTTATAATTCATTGGTAGGCATCCACCCTGGAAAATGTATGAACGTGCTAAGAAAAGAAATCTTATTTGCAAGGAAAAAACTTCCTAGTAACTACTGTCCCTGTGTTGAATGAATTGAAGGCCATTAATTAACTCCACTGGTATGTAAAGCTAAACTGTCAAGTAGCATTGGTGTGTTACCAATACCTTTTCCCCATTCAATAAATAACCATCTTTGTAGGTCTTTTTTAGTGAATGCCAATAACTTCCCTTACACTGTTCCTAACAATTTATGCTCAATTCAACTCAACAAGGCCTTATTTCAGTCCAGCTATATGGGTTCGGCTGCACAAATCCTACCTTCTAACTATATCTGTGCAACTATAATTAGAGGAAAAGAAGAGAAAAGATCAAGCCTCAAAAAAAAAAAAAAAAAAACAAGGGAATATGATAGACACCAGCTCCATTGAAGGTATCCTTCTTGGGTTGGATCATAGCACTTGGTAGATGTCTTACAAAGGAAAACTAGTAGTTCCATTAGGATCTCTCACAGACTTGCCTTTTCTATGTTTTTTAATGATGATCAGGACTTTTTATTACATGCATACTATTTGATGCACATAAAGATGTTTGAGTGGCTCTTAACCATCTGATTTATTGATTGTCTTCCAGAGCTTTGTAATAATTGTAATAAAATGTCTCTTTATACAAATAGATATTGGTAAATCCACATAGAGATGATTCTATTTTAATGCAGTTTTGGTCTAATTTATGTTCAAGTGGGACTCCTCCAGTTTTTGGTTCTTATCCTCTTAATATATGCAACCTATACTCCTGTTTTTATGGGTCCTCTACTTCCCGATCCAGGCTTTTTTTTTTTTTTTTTTTTAATATCATCGACCTAAGTTTTTGACTCTCTGATAAATACTTAAATACTTTCTACTGACATTACTAGTTGTACAGGCTGGGTTTGATGAACTAAATTCAAATTATACTTTTATTTTTCCTTGGTTTATATCAATAGCAGGTGAGTTTTCTAACAGAAAGGTAAAAGGAATACAATTATCTCATTCTCAGAATGGGAAAGACCAAACAAGGAGGCAAACTTTAAGTACCGAAGCAACAAATCCCACAATAAATAGAACATCACTCCCAGATATGTTTATCACATGGATTATTCTTATAAAACCAGAGGCCTTGTAGTAAAATATGGTGTGTATTAAATTACATGGCATACTTCCACGGTCCATTTATTGATAATGTTTTCACCAGTGTTAGTTTACAAGTGCAGATGTAATTTTTGAATTGCCTAATCAAAGCGATTGGTTTAGAAAATAATATTCTTAATTTTTGGTACATAAAAGAAAAAACTAGAAGGAATGGTTCTTAAAGATCTTATACCACCATTTTGTTCAGGGAATGTCCTCTAGACTTGAAAGAAGCAATTTCCAGTGTGTGTTTTGCTGCACCTAGATGTGCAGACTTGCCAGAACTACAGCAGGTTCAGATGTTATTTGCTACCAAATATGGAAAAGAGTTTGTCTCAGCTGCAACTGAACTCATGCCAGACTGCGGTGTTAATCGCCAGGTTACATCAATTGCAATCTTAGACTGGAATTTACCTGTGAGGAGAATTCTTTTACTATGTTCTTATGCCTTATTTTTTTCTAATGGACAAAATAATGTACTTGCAGCTAATTGAACTGCTCTCAATCCGTGCCCCTCCTGCTGAAGCAAAACTGAAGTTACTGAAGGAAATAGCAGAGGAACATGAGTTGGATTGGGATCCAACTGCCTCACAAACTGAGTTATTCAAGACACATGAAGATCTTCTGGTAAATACAATATTTCACTTGATTTTTCTGTGCAATCAAGTTTTTTCCCCCCTGTTGCTTATAAAAAAAAATCAAGTTTTTTTCATCCGTTTGGTTAAATTCTTTGCCTCCTTTTGACAGAATGGCCCAACACAGTTTGCCAGTGGGTCTAAACTGCCTCTCCCTAAAGAGAAACATGATGAGTCACTGTATTCAGCATCTACTGAAGCACTTGACCAGCAATCTGATTCTGATACAGGCTTTGATACATTAGATCTTCCTGAAGTCCCTAAAGTACCATTGCGACCTAGTGCCGATACTACAGCCCCAGAACTAGTTCCTCGGTCTGGGTCATCTTCTCCAGATTCCGTGAATGTTTCAGGACTGGGGAAGCATTCTGAGAATGATCATGAAGTAACAAAATATTCAGGAGTTGATCATGAACTTGCAAAGCATTCTGGTACTAATGAGAATCCCTTCCATGAGTCACATATGGAGCCTGAGGAAGTTGTAAGAGAACCACCGGTTGCTTCCCCAGCCAATATTTCAACTGGAACAGGTGAAGAGAAACAATTCCTGCCATTCATTACTCCACCTTCATTATCCTCTGCCTCGTTTTCGTCAAGACAATGCAATCCAGCCCCCTCTCTTTCAAAGACAAAAAGTGAAGCCAGTTTTGACCTAGAGGATGTCTTGGCTGCTGCTCAGGCCGCTGCAGAAACTGCAGAACGTGCAGCAGCTGCAGCTCGTTCAGCAGCAAGTCTTGCACAGGTCAGAATCACCGAACTCATCAAGAAAAGGAATGACCAGGCGTCTGAGAAGGATGAGCTCGAAATAGACAATCAGAATCAATCAGCCGGTGTGGGGATGCCACAGTTCGATCACCGGCAGTCTTTTGGTGATACTGACGGCGCTTCGTATTCCTTGGATTCACATCCAGAAAATGGATCCAACGAGAGATCAGATTCTCCAAATTTTTCTTTGTATGACACACCTCAAGTGGGATTTGAGCCTCCTTCTAGTGACCAAATAAACGAACATGAGTCCACCCGGCACCAGCCTCAGCGGTTGCCTTCAATGGAGGATGACCCATATTTCTCGTACCCAAACTTATTTACTTCACAGGAGTCAAACCTTGGGTCTAGTATATATACGATAGGCAATTCAAGAACAACCCATTAAGTCTGAGTTGGATTGTCATGAATAAACAAAGCCCTTGTCTTTTCTACAGAGTATTCCATGTTTCGCTGTGTTTATGTAAGTGATGTAGCCTACAGCTAGATATATTGGTTATTTTAAAGTTTTTGGTGGTGTATTATGTCTACGGAGTTGGGGATTGATGTATCGAACACTTTGATATGTTGAGATATTTAGGTGTACCCTGAATCTTCGATCCAATGCATCATGATATGTTTCAGGTGATGATTGCTTCTGTATAAATTCGTTGCCATGGATTTACTAGATCTCTATACATACGAAATGGAAAGGTGACGAAATCGTAAGAATTAAGATATGAGTTGACGACAGCTAGGGAAATGAGTGGGTTCAGACTTCAGAGCAGTGTACGTGAGGTCTACCCTGTTGGGAAATTGGGGTCATAAAATTTTTGGAGGATAAGCTTTGAGGTATATATATAGTTGCTGTCTTTAAAATGTTATTTGCCACTGTTAAGTTAAAGGCAAATTCGTTTTTAGTAGACAATAAAACTTTGAATGAAAAACTACAATAGGCAAAGACAGTAATAGATTGGACTGAGAGAGAAGAGAAATGTGTTGGAGAATCATCACATTTGCCAAAAGATTAAAGTCAACACACCCTATACTATAGAGAGCTATGGTGTTACATATTTGCATCAATTTGATCTCGTGCATTTTCTCATATGGAGGTAATAGGGACGGACGCTGAGACAGTGAGACTACAGGGTCATCCATTGGCATAGCTGTGGAAATTGTGTGGAATATAGACCTGGCTTCATTGTAGCATTGATCATAGGAGATACATCTGTGGTCAATTAATCACTTCACACCCTCCGTAGTTGTTCACTTCCCGTTGTCTTGTTTCTCTTTGCATTTGCCATTTCTTACTATAGCCTTTGACCAAATGCCCCGACAATGCACACAGTTCACTAGATGAGTAGCAGACTAACTCGGCAAGTTCTTCCAAATTAGGTGATCGCTCCAACCTCAACGTCAACTATGGTAAGCTCTCAAGAGTCAAGTCTCACCTACAAGGCCACAAACCGCAATTAAACCCCCTGCCCCAACCCCACTTGGTCTTGGTGTATACTGCTGTAGTGCATCTGCAGGTTGCTATCCAATTACAGTAGGGAGAGGAAATATCCCAAATTGTAAGCGAATCTTTGAGAGCAAAAGAAGACATGATTCAAAGCTTAAGTGCCTTCGGCTGTAAACAATCTATTATTTTATTAATGACATTTGACAAAGAATTACAATTTTCAAGCTCAAACCTCAAATAATATCAATCAATCAATGGATCAATAATCCCTTTACATGGATAAAAGAACAAAGATTAGCCCAGATCGGGAGGGCTCGGAAACCCAATTACGAAAAAAAAAAGGAAAATAGAAGTCAAGAAAGCAAAGCGAATTCCTAGATACATCTACAAAAATTTCAAACTGATATGGAACAAAGATCCTCAAAGACTTGTCTGATATTAGGCCTCTCATTTACAGGGAGAATACACCGGAGAGAGATGGCAAGCAAATCATCCATTGCTTTCGTTGGTTCCTCCCCACCAGCAATGTCTCTGTCAAAGCACTCTATTCCTCGTCCTTCGTGGACACAAAGTCGAACCCAATCTGTAAGGTCAACAGCGCCTGATTGGCCCGAAATTATGTCACCGGCACTTCTTCTGGTTAATAACTCCATGAGTATCACACCAAATGCATAAACATCAGCCTTTAATGTGGGCAATGGTTTTGCTGCAGAAGCTATTTCTGGGGCTCTGTATCCAAGCGCTCCCAAATTTAACATCTGCTCTGCAGTCCCAGCAGGGGTCATTAGACGGTGGAGACCATAGTCTGTGAGACGAGCAGTAAAATCAGGTCCTGCTAGAAGTATATTTGTTGGCTTTAGGTTACCATGAGGTAGGCCTCTATCATGGAGGTAAGAGAGACACCTTGCAACATCCACTGCAACTCTTATCCTTTGGCTAAACGATAGTGGGGAGTACCTTCGAGGTGTGGTCTCTACAAGACACACATTGACCAAAGATTTGTACATGTTAATTACAGATTCAATCTCCCATGTACTCAAGAGATCTTGTTAAATATGTGTACAGTATCTATAATGTGTTGGCATTGGTAAGAGTCACACAAATAAACAACAAACTTAAATACATATACCAAGTAACTCTCATGCGAGGTGGACAGTTTTTATAAAGCAATGCATCTATTAGAAAGTAAAATTTTGCCAAGAGAATGATAATAGTGGCATGAATACACACATCAAGTAAATTGTGCATGGGATCATTTTAATATAGGAGATATTGCATACTGATGCAGTTGGACAATGGTAATTACCAAATCCTTAAAGTTGGAGGAAAATAACTGACAGACCAGGCAAAAAATTGTGTCATCAGTCATCCATTAAAAACTATTTTAGGTGTTTCGAAACCTCCAAAGGCAGACAGCTGAGTATTCATACCTTCTACATTAGCATCATTAGTGCTTGTGTGGTTTGTAGCAAATAAACAAAATAAAGATTTGGTCAATAAACAGAACAAATATGCATCCTCTAGTTCACACTGATTGAAAGATGGACAAATTGGATTTTGGTATTTGTTAACTGTAAAATAGGAACTGAAAATAGAATGCTGGAAAAGATTCCAAATTTAAAATGTGTCGTTTAGCATTTCAACAATTAAAGACCTACTTAATTGTTGAATGAAGTACAGGGATAGGAGCGATTATTTTGGAAAAACTATGGCTGTTGGGGCAAACAGCCTGGGCTATTGGAAACATTCTTGGGCATGACATGTTACCATGGGTGTGGGGTAATAGAGTAATTGCCCTCAAAATTCTTTTGATCAAAGAGACAAGCCATTTTAGCCACTTCTAATCCTGAAGTTTTTTTTGAGCACTCCACTTGGCCACCCATTTCAGAAATGATCAAAAGTCCAAATTGCAACTAATCGGCCAACTTTGATTCATCCTTCAGGAATTAACTGATAAATGCACCGTCAACCTACACTACCCAATCAAGAAGTGTGGACTGCATCACTAAATTAGGGACCATTGCTTGGTGCAATATTAAAATCTGAGGCTGACAAGCATAAGATGGGTTCAAGTCTAAGAGCAGTCACCATGTACCCAAAAAAGAGCCAAAAGGTTGGCTCTGTATCCAGTCTACCACTACCAAGTTGCTGAATGATTCCAAAGAGAGCCTTTATATATATGTAGGAAGCCTATAGTTGAGTTTGGTTTCTTTTAGAAAAATTAATTCATTAATTACAAAGTATAAGGGCATGTAATGAGTTGATGCCATAAAATACAATTAACCTTGCCTTCTCTCTCTTTCTCTCAAAAAAAAAAAAGTATCAAGGGTATGTAACAGACCATGACAGAGGTTATAGGCTTTTTGTGTTCTTGGTTAAGTGTACACAGGGCATTCAAAGGTGTCCGGATTTTCTCATTTTTACAAGCTGGACCTTTCTTTTGTTGACACATTTTTGTATATTCCCATTGTACAGGCTCTCATTGTACATGGGCTGTTATTTATGTTTCTTCCTCATACTTTAATACAATTCAATACCTTAACCTATTTCAAAAAAAAAAAAAGCAGACCATGACAGAGGCCTCAACTTAAAAGGCTATGATCGAGCTGATGCCATTCTCCCGTCAAGCTGAAGCCAATCTTAGCTCAATCAAACAAAATGACTTACATTTTAAAAGGTGCAAATTCATTCTGTGATGTTGTGCACTCTAGATTTTGGTAAAATTTAAACTTCTCATGTTTTACTGACAACCAAGAAGTGAGAAATTCACATTTCCCAAAATAACCATTTCCAAAATATTCTACATCCAACCAAACACAACCAGCTATTTGCATATTGGACAAGATTCTGAGAATGGACCTAGTAAGTTGGAAGATATTACTTAAAGGATGCATCCATTGTATGCCTTGAGGGTGGGAAATCAGTTGGCAATGACCTCCTTCCTTTCCCCTTTGTCATCTGGAACATGACAAAGAACTCCTCTAACATTTTCTTTTATTTTTATCTTAAACAAAACCCAAGAACTTTGTTGATATGTAATACAAGAATACACTAGTCTAGTTTACCCAAGGAAAACTAG